AACAAAGAACTTACAGGGAAAAAAAATGCGGCACCCTCATTAGGAAACAGAGCGTACAGAGCAAAGAAGGCAAGAATGCATATTTTAGAGCTAAAAAAAAAAAAGGCAGAAAGAAAGGGGAGAATAAATATAAAATAATACAAGATATGAATGAAAGGAGTCCTCAAGTTTATCTCTGTGCAATTCCAAAAAGGCACTAATTTCTGGAAAAGAAAATACCATGCAAAACCAATTCCCATAGGGGAATTAAGAATAGTCTGAAAAGTTCACTCATCAGACAGACCTTGTCTATCAGAAGTAGGGAGAAAGCTCAATATTTTGTGGAAAACATGAAAGGACGAAGGCCATAAACTTATAATTTTGAGACTCATATAAGCAAGACTTTGATGAAAGTGCAGGGGAACACTTTCACTTTCAGACCATTTGGGGATTCTGTCAGTAAAGTGGCTTGTAAGACAAAAATACATAAGGGAATACACACAGGGATGGATCAGAAAGTAACCATCAGACATGAAAAGGTACACGAGTATTTACTGTGTCTTGAATTGTCAACAGACTAAAGGAGTTTTTGCTGCTACAGCTGGTGACACATGAGTTGATAAAATCTGACGTAAGATGAACCAAGTGTAATTGCATCCTAAACATAAAAGCAAAAATGGGTATAGGCTGGTAAACTACAATGGAATAAGCAAATCAAGAAATTATGTCTACTAGCAGGTGAGGGTTGAATATCTCTCAAAGGAAAGACAGTTATAAAAGTAATAAAGACTTCTGTAAGAAATAATTTTGCAGGGTAACACTAAAAGGTATCAAAGAATAACGAAGGCACAACTACCCCACATACCTGCTATTGAAATCCAAGATAAAATAAAAATAAATATATGGAGACAAATATGATGGAGACACTCATTAAGCAAAAGAAAATGTAAACAAAACTTTAGAACCTTGTTACAGGTGTGAGAATTTAATGTGGATTTTCAGATGGGAAATAACAAAGATTAAGCAGATAGGAAACTGCAATGATTTGCTGGTGAGATGGTAATAAGAGATGCATTTTATTAGCCAAGTTTACTATGCTGGGTAAACAATAAAGAAGATTCAAGGAAGAACAGCATCTCACAAAGGTCTTTTCAGTCCTATAATTAAAACTTAAGCAGACAGGCTCCAAAAAACATTATAAGAAAATTCTGAAAGTGAGAGGTAAATTGGATCTCATTCAAACAAGTAAAAAAGAAAAAATGTCAAGATATATACGGCAGAAATTTTACGAAAGAATGACAGGGCAGGCAGATCCCTAGTTAGAAAGCTACAGAAAATATGGACAGAACAGCAGTCCCAGTCACTAGGGACAGCAGGTAACTAGTTCAGAGAAGAGAGGAGATGCTTCTGGAGAATTTTATAAAGGATGCCATCCCCCAGACTGCTGATAAAGAGTTAGAGCCTCTAGATAAATCCAAAAAGCAAAATTTAATTAGAAAACAAAAGTATACTCCCTGGCCTTCAGGAGAGAAGGTAAAAAATTCCCCGAGGAGGAAGATTAAATATAGGAACCTCATATGTTCATTAACTGTTTGAACATAAACACAGACACCATTCCCAGACTCTTAAGAGGAATTTTAATTCCCATATTATTGGACTTATTTATTGTGATTGAGAGTTGCATTGCCAAACAAGGAGAGAAATTTCATAAATTGATCATTGCATAATATTCTTCCATACTTTTACCAAATGTCTTTTTTGTTGGTACACTGGGGATTGTTAGTTAGTGATGTTCACCCAGATTAATTAAAATTTAATGTGGGAAAAATTTCTTGTGGGAAAACACAGCTCAGATAAGATTTTTGTGAATGTTGATTTTATAAAATGTCATCTCAATCCAAAAAAGCCCACTTACAAAAAAGAAGAAAATGTGTGTCACATGTTAGCAGTGTCTGGCTTTGAAAATAAATTGAGGATCTGCATTTCTGCTTCATTTAAAAGGGCTTCCATATGAGTGAACAGATTTACATTAAAAAAGTGGGATACAGAAGGGTAACCACTGCCATGTCTACAGGTTGTTCCAGACACAGGACATCCAGGCACAGGGATCAGGGAGTGTCCAGAGATGAAGGGCAGAAAGGGCAGATCAGAGCTGTACTGTAGATATCTTGCTCACATATTCTATGCTACTTTTTGTGCAAAATTTGTCTCCTCCTTAAAAGCAACACCATTTCAAACATGTAGATTTGCTGCTTCCATCTCTGGATATCAAAAGAATAATGATAAACTTGAAGTACTAGATGACCACCTTTCTATGAAAATTAAGCATTATAAATTTAAATGTGTTAAAATTCAATGAGCTACTTAAAGAAAAAACACAAGGATCTGTTTAAAGCTAATTATGTTAAAGTTCAGTCTAAATTAACAAAATCCTAACAACTGAATAGAGATATGGATTCCTTGGACACAGTAGCTAACATGAAAAATAGCACAGTCTCTCAACTTAGGTCCCTATGCACCGGCTTACCTACACACAGAGAAATACAGATGTCCGAATGATACCACACTTTACACATTTAACAAGTGTTCCATGCCTGTCTAGATGTAAGAGCCTCAGAATGCAAAAATATTACAAAGGACTTCAAAGATTGGAAGACCCTCTGCCTCCAAATACTCATCACCTATGTTAAAGGCATGGACTTCCTCCTTAAGGCCTAAAAAAATATATAACTTCACTTGGATCAAGGCACGGATTTCTTAGTTAGGTCACCTCTCGGGGGAGAAAGATATGAAATCTTATCAATGCATTTCTGAAAGTAATACCTGAGCGAAAGTTTTCCATTTCCAGTATCTTCGAGCTGGAATTTTATCATCAAAATACAGAAAGATTGCAGCAGACTTAACCTTCTGAATAACCGATATACAGAGACTCAAGAAAACAGGGGCTCCCTTTCTAAATATACACATTTTAATAAAGGAAGAAATAAATGGGAAGACTAAGCAAATGAAAAATGGGAGAGATATCCTGGGAGGATAAAACAGCTTTGAGCAATATGTATAACTACATCACAGATGGTACCTGTCTCCAACTCAGATTCAACATATTTTATCCAAGAATGCTGCTGGAGAGACCACGGGACAAAATCTTTCATGTATGTCATTGGGCCTAGGTCCAAATTCTCATTGGAAGTAACCAGAAGAATAACAACTGTGATGGATGGTAATATCCTATTAGACTCGCTTGTTTGATTCCTGAATGATCTCTTTAAGGACACTCAGGAGGTGAAGAAAGAAAAATTACTGTACTTTTGATAGTAGCAATTAGACTCTATATTTGCTTATACATAGAAGGATTAACTTCTTCCTCTTCTCCCCACCACTGCAAAAATAATACAATAAAATATGAGATGACTTAGTGATGAATAAAAGTATTCTATCAGCTCAGACCGCCAGAAGAGAGGTCAGAAAATATGTCATTCCTTATTTATTCAAAGAATAAAAATCAATCAGCTAGTAAATGAGATACACTGAATATTACTGGACAGGGAGGGATAACAGAGGAGGCTTTCCCTCTTCTTTCTATCTATCTGCATGCGACTATACCTGCTATAGGAGGGCTTCTCACTTTCTAAGGACTACTGCAAATCTGCACTACTGCCTTGGAACAGCAGTAATACGTTATACCTTGCACAATTGCTCTGCACGTTTGGTTTTTTTAGTTGCCTATATGAAAATCTTTTGGTTTTAAAAACGAAATGGTTAGAACTTAAAAGCAAGGAAGAGGTATCCCAGTGTTTTCTTTTTGTTGAGGAGAGAGCTTGCAATTTTTAAGTTGAACTGAACTTTGAACAAGGGGAAAACCTGCAGGTGAACTTTGAACAAGGGGAAAACCTGCAGGTGATCACACACTGGATATATAGTACCAATGTTGGTGTGAGGGTTTCAGTTGCACTCCTCTAATCTTCTTGAGTAATTCGTAATACTGAGAAAGAATAAAGAAGCATGAATGAAGTCAGTTAAAGCTTGCTGCTCACCAACTTGCCATACAGTGGCTGCATGGACCACAGAAGTGGTCAGAACAATGAAGACGGTCAAGAAGTGTTACACACTAGAAAGTCAGACGCATCACATACTTGCAGAACAACAGAGCGGGGGCGGGGGGGGCGGCGGGGCTAGGAGAGCAAGGTAGTACCAGATGTTTGGGAGAGGTGAAGTGGCAACTATGCATGGACTGAGTTAAAATGGGTCTGGTTTTCTATAATCTAGGAGTCCATGCAGGATGCTAGGACACATGGGGCATCCTGGATACATTTGGTTTGCCTTTGTAAGTAAATAAATCTAAGATATGATATTGCGATCTTATTATCTTACATCTCTGCTCAAAAACATATTCTGCAAGAGCACTATGTAAATAAAACAGCCTAAGATGAATTATACATCATGCATCTGTATCTACTCATTATTCTTCTAAAAGAAAAATAACTTGCTCCCAGAGTCCAAATATCGTCTGTCTGCTCAGAAGTTGTGACAATATTATTTTTGCTTTCCCCTTCAAAGAAAGACTGTGTATCAATCTGAAGCAGAGGCTACAGCCATATCCCGAATGGAGTGTGACATCTTTTTTTATACTCTAAACCAGGACTAAAACCACAGATAAGTGGATGCAGCTACCAACGGGCTGGGCTACCCAATATAGAAAAGAGGAAGAAAACTCAACTCCAAGCAAAATTTAGCTGCTTCATGCTTTGAAATCCCCGCATATAAATACACCTACAGTACTGGCATCAGGTCACCCCAGAAAGCTGTGTTGCCTGACAGTTCCTCAGGACCCGAAGGACCTTGCCCTCCTGCTCCTTCTGATGCTGAGTAACACCTCCCTACGTAAGCATGGATACAATGAGGCAGTAGCTAGCCAAAGTCTACTAATGACTCCATGTTATCTTTTTTTTTTCCTCCCCCTTTTCTCTTACTGAGATCTCCTTGGGCCAGACAAATCAGAATGAATTGAAGAACGCACGTACCTTCCTTCTTTCGGTGCATCCCAAGTTCTATGGAGATTTGGACGCAGTAGACCTCCCGGGTTTGTATGCCACCTCCACAAAGGCCTACGTGATTGTGATGGCGAGGGTCCTGCTGGTCAAAGAGGAGAGACACCTGGCAAGCTTTCCATTCAGAAGTCCTCCAGGCAAACCTTTGGAAATAAAAAGAGACCAGGTAAAAGAAGTTTTTGAAGACTATGGGTGAGGGAGTGGTACGTTATTAGATGACAAAATACAATCGGTTTAATCTTTATAGCAGCACTTCCTAGTTCAAAACAGGGAATGTTCTCAAACATTTTGAATGTTAAACAGAAGTTAAATATTTGTTATTTGTCTGGAGTCCTTGTGTAAAATTTTTCATGTAGCTCTAATCTCCAAAGCATTCTGAAACACTAAATCATCCTGACAAACCCTTTGAGCAGGGTGCAAAGAAGGAATGAAGATTAAGAGGTTCGATTAAGTGCAAAAACTAGTTTTCAAACATGTGGCTCAAACCACTAAACCACCTCTCTCTGCCAAGAGCTGAACACCTCACTCTGAAATGCACTTAATAGCTAAAACCCTACATACGTCAACGGAGCTCCCAGCACCGGGCAGCTCTTCTACAGGTGACAGCTTTATAAATGCCTAGGGCACTACCAATTTCTTCAAGGGATTGGCTAAAGTAACTCAGTTCTCTCATTTCGATTTCCAGAAGTTGTGATACACAGCAAGCTCTAGATAAAAATATTTTCATTCTATATTCACACCTACAGAACATTAATGGTTTCAGGGAAGGATAACGTTCTTGGGCATAGATACGTGAATGCTGTACAGACAACCGCCATTAGTATATACCAGCTTAAATGCCAGGAAGAACTTCTTGAAACTACAGGGAAAACAGTATTGTATATCAGCGGAAAGCAAAAATTATTTCCCCATCATGTCTGAAAATGCAGAGCGTATTTTTAACACAAGAGTTTTCACTGGCATAATTCATTTTGATTCACAGGTCACAGTATCAGTGGAGTAAATAAGAGCCCAAAGTCTTTCTTCAGCTTCCCGAACACATATCTTAGGCAATATTGTTTTTATAACCAATCTGTTCACACTTCTGCTGCTTTATTCCTTTGCTCCTCTAAATTTCATAGTTTACTTTTTCCATACAATCTTTGTTCGTTTTGTGTAATCTAAACTACATAAAATAATTTCCTTCTTTTATCCTCAATATAAACGCTCTCTCCTCTTATGGCAGATCCATGGCTGTTAAAACCACGTAGGTTTGTTAACCTGCTGACGGATCACCGTAAGCTGAAGCATAATGAGGGGCCCTTGGCAGAAAAAGCCTCCCGCTTGGAATCCTGTGTATTCTCCATAGTGAGTATCTGCTCCTGACTACAGCTATAGCAAGGAAACAGGCGTCTCAAAATTGTATGAAAAATAAATACATTAGCTTGCCTGAGCACACATCAATGTTCTCTTAACTTCTTATGCTGTAAATATGGGCATAATAATGATTTCTAGCCACAAAGCACTTAAGAATTTTGTAACATACTCATGGAAAACGTTTGTGAATACTGCCAATTACTTTTAATTTACAGGTACTTTTCAGATGAGCTGTCATGCTCTCTTAAATAATATACAGTATCATGTGCAAATCTGGATGCACTCAGAGGGTTTATTACCAACAGAGAAAACTATAAAGAATACACTTTGCACATGACAAGCATGAAATACTTGAACTCCCACAACATATAAAGCACAGCCATGAATTTCTCCTCCTAGCAGTTCCTTCTGGGAATTCCTAAGCGCCTTTCTTGGGCCTGCAGTGTTAAATGCAGCCTTCCCCTTCTAATAAAGCCGATGAAAAGCGCTCTTTATCCAACACCGGGTGAAGAGGATTCCTCCTCCACACCACTTCAGGACATCGCGCTCTTCAGGTCTACATTTTCAAAACTAAAAGCTTGAATAGAGAATACACACATCTTTCGATGGAAACAGTTGTTTTAGGAAAGTATTTCTTAAAACAATAATTGACTAAAGAAAACCTGATTATCAAGATCTGGCTTAGGTAGTCAGCTGTGAACTCTGGATCCTAAAGACTCATTTCCAGAGGTATGAGCACCTGCTTCTCCGATTCAGCGTGAGCTGTGGGAGTTAACATCTATGAAAATTAGGCCATCGGTGATTAAAATTATGCAAAATAACTAAATCTGAGCTCAGAGATAATTAAACTTCATCAGCCCCTGAATCTAAAAAAAAAAATCCCTTTAGATATTTTCACAGAGTAACTGGATACTGCATTGCACTGCTGAGCCGTCCTTAACAAACAGCTATCGGGTGCTCCAGCCAGCGCCTGCTCTGCGGGGAGCACCCTAAAGCCTCAGCCCCATCAGCCCATCTTGCTTTTTCCCAGCTGGACATGCCCTCAACTGTCCAGAGTTTTCCGGTAACAAATCCTGACCCCAAACATCAGTTGTTTAAAAGGTATACGTTTTCATGGCCATTAATAAGTCCACTACACCAGAAACATATCCAAGGGATCACTATCCCACTGAGTATCCCACGCGGTGACCTCGGACAGCTTTATGCCAGACTTTTTTTTGCAGGGTTTTAAGCAGCACGGCCAACACTTGGTATTAGTTTGCCTATCTATGGACTACACTAAAGACAATAAGAATTAACATTGCTTAACGAATAGGAACTGACTGAATAATTTCAAGTAACAAGCGATAGGACAAGAGGAAACGGCTTCAAGTTGCGTCAGGGGAGGTTTAGGTTGGATATTAGGAAAAAAATTTTCACTGAAAGAGCGGTCAAACATTGGAACAGGCTGCCCAGAGAGGTGGTGGAGTCACCATCCCTGGAGGTGTACAAAAACCATGTAGGCATGGCACTTTGGTACATAGTTTAGTAGGCATGGTGGTGTTTGGTTGATGGTTGGACTTGATGATCTTAGGGGCCTTTTCAACCTTAACGATTCTAAGATTCTATAAACTGACTGAATAATTTCTGCTTAAATTTAATCAGAAGCTTGTTAATAGCCATTAGCAAAAGACAGAGACTAGTTAGTGGCTGGCAAACACCTAAAGTTTTTTTGTAATTTTGGCAATCTCAAGCCAGTACTTGCAAATTATTAGCAATATCCACAGTGGTTTTAACATATGAATGTAATTTCTCCAATTGAACAAAGATGCCCAAAGCCACCAACGTCACTTTGGACATTCTGTTGCCAGAGCAGGCCATACCAGAGGTGCACTGTAGCAGTGTTAAGCTAAGGGGTCCATGCCTTCCAGCCACCTTGTTGTCTGTCCCCAGAGGGTGAAGAGTGTAATAACTCAGGAAGTGGAAGGGTCATTATGCATTTGGATCATCAAAGAAGCTGGTCAGCTCCAGTGTACACTTTGTGGTCCCTGTGCCAAAATCTGTTGGTGCTGACAATTTCAAATGTCAATAGATTTAACATCTCATTTTATCTCCTGCCAACAGCTAGTTAGATTGATGCAAACTCAGCATAGTTACAGTCCTAGTTGTGACCCATGTTTATCTACAGACCTCTTACTATAGTTAAAAAAACCTCAGCCTTTCCCTTTGGCTTCCCAATAGGCTTGTTCCACTTTTTGACAATACTGTATGAGTTACAGGAGGTCTAGCTACTTCCAAAGATTGGCAGGCTCCATTGCCAATGGTTAGAGGACTAGCTAGATAATGGCTCAAATGGGGACCTCCAGAATCCACAGACATATATATATATTCTGCTTAAGCAAACAGGCAAGCAAAAACTGCTAGTTTAGAAACAATAAAGTGTGTGCTTGGGGCATCTAGGAGGGAACTTGGCTGGTAAAGCTAAACAGCTTTCCACATTGTAAGCAGTGCTCTGAATTTCCCTGCTACACAGAGTCAGCTGAGGAAGCAGAAGAGCAGGTCCCCCAGCTTTCTGTTACTACCAAGGCAAAGCATGTTCTCGCACTGTGACTGTGTTGAAGAAGTGTCCAACACGGAGCCGGAGAACCAAAGTTTCACCATGGATGGTTCCTGATGTGAAGGGAGGCAATGAAGCTGGCCAGCTGATTCAAGGCCATCGTTGCATGACCAAGACCAATGAAGGTCAAGGGGCTGAAAAGTAGTGTTGCTACCACTCCCAAAGTGTAACTCCAGCAGCCTACCAGCACGGTTCATTACATTTCCTTTCAAGTCTTTTGTACTTCACATTAATGCCTTATCTTTAATTGGGACACATAATGGGCCTCATTTACAAAGTGATACCATCACACCCGTATCTCAGCAGTAACCTCAAGCCTTTTGAAAAAATCAGGTCTTAAAACTTTCCCATTTTCCATCATTTAACTTCTGAAAAGCTTTGAATTTCCAACAAAGCAAAGAGGTGGTTTTTTTTTCCTAAATCCTTGTCTTGTAACATAGCAACCACAACCAAAATGAAAGATTTAAAGACATAATCATAATTCTGGAAAATCTATCTATTCCCAGTGAACATGAAAGCTACACATCAAGGATAAAAATGATATAATACATTGTTTTAAAACTGATGACAGTGACAGCTATGCAACAAACAAGTGCTCAATATCTTTCCAATTTATAGTAACCTCTTGGTCTCTTTAGTCTATAGGACTTATGCTTTAGCACTTACACAAGTTTTATACCTGTATATAGCCATTCACTTTAATTGAACTATCCCAAATTTATATCACAATAAAAGAAAGCAGAATCACCTCCTATGTATTTAGGCTTTTTAAGCGCTTAATCTAATCCCTTCAGAACAAATAACCAAAAGTAAAACAAAGCACAAAGCTCTGGAGTCCTACATGCCGTTAAAGTGTTTTATTTTCTTGCATTTAAAGTATTGATTAAAGAAGTTATTGTAAACTTCAGCCGTAAAATCAAAAAGCCTTCCCATTTAACAGCAAATTTACACTAATTGCCATGTACCTGTGATGGGACCTTTAACTTGTAGCCTTGCCCTGGACACAGAGGTAACACTTAACAGAGCAGTTTTGAAGCTGAAGGTATTTTTTCCCCACTGGATCCTTTTAGGAGGCTGGAATATAACTTCTCCCATCTCCCCCTGCTGAGTACAACTCTGCAAGCACTACCTCTTGAGCTGCTGCTTTCCCATGCTGGTGGATGTAGTCCACAATGTGTACCTTCATTCGGCAACGGGGTGCTCCCTGTCCCTGCATTGAAAAACAGCCTCTAGAGGATTCCCTTCCCTCTCCTGCTCAGACACTTGCTCTCTTTCTGGTCTATGTACTTGCTCGTTTGCTTTGCCGTGCCTAGAACATGCTTTGGAGAATTCTTGCCCAAAGAATAAAGCCAAAGGAAAGGCTACTTGTCTTAAAATCAACCGAAAAATAGCAAAGAGCAGATTTCCAGGAACTGGGAAAGTAAACAGGACTCTCATCTTAAAAGATTTGAAGACTAATCTGATTAGGCAAACGCAAGCCAGAAACAAAGAAGGAACAGTTTGTGCTGAGACCTGACAAATGAAGGAGAGTGCCTTTTATAGCTGATACTGAATCTCCTTAAGTTAATCATCACCTTGTAAGGGGAAGAAAGCAAAGATAACTATTTGGTAAGCCTCAGCACAGCCACAGATGAGGTAGCATGTAAGGGGAGAGAGAAAAGCACAAGCTTTCTAGGTATTACACTGCAAAGAGAATATGCTCGAGTAAGGAGCACATCTTACATTATTTCGCAGAGATTAACACTACATCCCTCTATGGCTGAAAGCTACTGCTTTCCAGTCTGAAGGACTTCCAGTATCTTGGTCATCAATTCCCAAACATCACCACCAAATCACCAGGCTGTAAACTGTAACAGGGACCAGTAACATCCTCGACCAGCTGCTGACAAATAATACACTTAAAAATGTTTGGCTCCTGTACATTAATACCAAATTCCAGCCCCCAAAGCCTTACATGCAGCAGACCCATAGCATATACTGCAACGTTACAGCTTTTCATTCCTATTTATTTTTGCAGTACCCAATGGCCAAATCAAAGCCAACTAACCAGGCGCCACTGTAAAATTCTCCTCAACACTGCACAGTGTGAGAAGGTCACAGCCTACACCTTGCATGTTGAAATATTACATCCCTAGAAATAACAATTAACTAAACACCAGAGATTTTTTTTTTTTTTTTTGCAATATTTTAGTTAAGGGGGTCTATTAACCTGTAAGTCTAATGTTATTTTTCTGGGCTGGTTCATTGGGCAGTTTATGCTAGCTCACGCAGGTACTTCACCGGAGATGTTCCCTGAAGGACTGAAGGTGTGCAGGTATGGCAGGTAGGGGAAGGTTGAAGAGTTCATAGGCTCAGGAAAACCAGGGCATAGCAGCAATATACCAAAAGAACAGCAGGTTGCCTTCTGTATTAAGAGTGGCACCACGAAAAAGTTATCAGCGTTATGCAGGTTCTCACCTTTTGGGCTCTCCTGGCTCTGCACCAAGCAAGCTATAATCGTTTGCACTTTAATATGGTGCAATGTCAAAAAGTGGAAGAACTGAGAAACTAGGGACAGGCACATGTCTGTTCACTCCCTGATTAACCACCAGCCGGTCGACCCCAATCAGGTGTCACCTGCACCCGCGCTCCTATACAAAATCAGCGACACAATGTGTTAATCTATTGTCTTTGAAATCGATGTGCGTTTGGGCAGGAGCAAAAATCACTCTGTAAGAGCCTTTTCGTCAGATCTAATCAAGCAACAGAATATTTTTTTTTTTTATACTTCCTCTCTTCTGCTAGCAGGGTGCATAAAAGTGATCAGCATTTGATTTTGAATGAACCCAACGATACAGAGACACTTCTCCAGGTTACGCCTTCCTAAGGAAAGTATCTTGCAAAGGCTTTATCAAAGGTTTTAGCAGTATCTGGCAAAGCCCCAGAAACCCATGACTTGATCACTGAATAGACCTCCTATTAAACATACTTATTCACAGACAGGGAGATTTGTCTGCATGCATATAAGATTTTATCAATCTTGAAGCATTTTACAGTCAATCTCAGAACATGTCACATGAAAAATTATGCAATATATTACTTCCTTTGCAAAGCAAACTAGCAACCCCCTATGCTAGCCTAGCCAAGCATAACGGCATGGATTTGCGGAGCAGAAAGGCAAGACCCTCACCTTCTGCCAGAACGAAGATTGCCATAAACCAGGTAAGAACTCAGGGACTGCAACGTTTCCCATTTCAAGAAGTACCCGGAGGGAAGCCAAGTAAAGTCAAAGCTATTACCCCGATCAGTTCCCATTTTCCTCAAGGAGGACTGGGATTTTTTTTATGGGGAGATGAAGAGGAATCATTAAATCTTATGTAAAAATTACAATTTCAAAGCCAATAAAAGCACAGCCATGGAGACCTGCCCAGTCTCTGTGCAGCTGAGGAAATTCTCTGAAACCGCAATCGGTATGAAAGCCCCTCCAGAGAACAAGACTATCTGTTCTCAATTTTTAAAATATGAAAATATAAACTGTAGCGGGTGTAACGTAAATTTATTTCTAGATATAAGTGTAATTATTATAATAGCAATAACAATAATAGCAACAATTACAAGAATATTACTAAAAATAAGTAATACCGCTAATCATAGTTAACAATGATCAAATCAATGATCTTTTAGACACAGAAAGCATGACATGCGACCCTCCCCATGCACATAACACTGAGCAAGGAAGATTTCCTTTGCACAAGGCAGTCATCAAACAGGGGCTTCTTCACTTCCAAAAACTGGGCTAAAAGCACCCACTATACCTGGGGCAAGGCTGCAGCAGCTCCTTCCCTCCCACGCTGCACGCTTCCCTCTCTTCCAGCTCCGGGCATTGCTTCCCGGCGCCCACCGCCACGCTCCGCACGCTGCGGTGCCGGCTCCGAAAGCCCGGGGAGAGATCTCCCCAGCCGCAGGTCCGCGAGCAGGCGCTCCATGAAGACCACTCGGATGTTTCGCAGTCTCTAGCGACGACACAGGACTTGAAGGTCAAAGGGACGGGATCTTGCACACAGAGGCTGCGATAAGAACACAGGAAAACAGCTGAGGAGGTCTCACTTCATACATTTCTTTTTTGTTTTCAAGCCAAACCCCCAAAGAAGAAATCAATGGTCATTTGGGGTAAATCAGAAGACCTGCAATCAACACCAGTACAATGAAAGTAAGAGGACCTGTAATGCAGCGCACATAACACGTTTCCAGGGAGTTCTGGGTGCAATCTTGCATGCCGAGTAGTTTGCAAGTAATATATTTCATTTATTTCAAGTTAGAACAGATGAGAAAGGCACTGTATTTGCTCCGGTGCAGTTAGAATTTCACAGTTTATCCAGGATGGAAAATAAAAGCCAAGCCCAAGAGAAATACTGCCACTGGTAACCATTCCCATCACCCCGCACACAGGACTAGCTGTCTGCCGTCCGTCCATCTGTCCAGGCGTCAGCACGTCCTGCTGAGCAACTCTGCTCTTTTCAAAAATAATTAGTCACACACCAATAAGAAAGGCAACGGTTCTGTGAGGCTGTTATCAAATAAATGCTGTCAAACAAGGTCAGAGTGTTTCCAAACCTGACAAACCACCAGGGACCCAGGAATGCTGCAACTGTGGCTGTATTTTGGGACTCAATTACTCCTGCTGACATTACGACATGATCCTCATTCATTCCATAGCACATCAAGACACCACACAAAGCCCAGTACAATGGAAAACCAAATCTTAAGAGCTGCCAACTGTTGAGGTGTGGTAACAAGATACAAAGTCCCAGAATAAAACGTTTAAGACTTCTGAAGTTACAAAAGCGCTTTTCACAACATCGGAAAGTATGGCAAATGTAGCAAATAATTCTGGGAGAAGACAAACCTCCAGACTAAGGCCACCACCTTTCCTTGCTCCTCCGCTCCCATCTCAGCCCGCTGATGGCTCTCCTGCCCAGCGCGCGCTGGGAGGGAGCCCACGGCTGGTCCTGCTCCCCCCCCCTCCCGCCGCA